GGCGGTAAACTGAGGCAAGGTGGGGCTGGTGGACTGTGTGGTTGAGGCAGGGCTGGCTGACTGGGAAACTAAATACCCCAAATCTCTAGCTGTAAAGTCCTGTGGGTGTTGTGGCAAAAGAAGTTCCCAGTCTCACAGGAAAGTTCTCTGAAAATGGAGCTAGAATGGGGCAAGTGGTATTGTTCCCTCTCTGAACCCTCTCCCAAAGACAGCACCACAACACAGCCTAGTGGGTTGCCCTGGCCTGGCAAATACCTAAGACTCTGCCCCATTACAACCTAACAGGTACTCTGAGACAAATAAATATGGTCCAAATGAAAGAACAGATGAAAACTTCAAAAATACAACTAAGCAACAAGGAGAAAGACAACCTATCTGATGCAGAGTTCAAAACACTGGTAATCAGGATGCTCACAGAACTGATTGAGCTTGGTTGCAAAATGAAGGAAGAAATGAAGGGTATGCAAAATGAAATAAAGCAAATATACAGGGAAAAAACAATGAAGGGAAGGAAACTGGGGCTCAAATTGATGATTTGCAACAAAAGGAAGACATGAACATCCAATCAGAACAGAATGAAGAAACAAGAATTCAAAAATATGAGTGGCTTAGGAACTTCTGGGACAACTTTAAGTGCTCCAACATCTGAATCATAGGGCTGCCAGAAGGAGAAGAATATGAACAAGTAGTTGGAAACTTATTTGAACAAATAATGAAGGACAACTTCCCCGATCTGGCAAAGGAAATAGACATCCAGGAAGCCCAGAGAGTCCCAAAGAAATTGGACCCAAGGAGGAACAAACCCAGGCACATCATCATTAAGTTACCCAAGATTAAAGATAAAGAGAGAATCTTAAAAGCAGCAAGAGGAAAGGAGAGAGTTATCTGCAAAAGAGTTCCCATAAGAAGATCAGCCGATTTCTCAAAAGAAACCTTGCAGTCAAGAAGGGGCTGGAAAGAAGTCCTGAAAGGCAAGGACCTACATCCAAGATTACTCTATTCAGCAAAGCTATCATTTAGAATGGAAAGGCAGAGTGCTTCCCAGATAAGGTCAAGTTAAAGGAGTTCATCATTACCAAGCCCTTATTTATGAAATGTTAAAGGAATTTAGCTAAGAAGTAGAAGAAGATAAAAAACCGTGAACAGTAAAATGACAACAAACTCATTACTATCAACAACTGAACCTTCAAAAGAAAAAAAATTAACAACTAGAACAAGAATAGAATCAGAGAAATGGAGATCACGTGGACAGTTATCGGTGGGGATGGGGAGGGGGAAAATGGGAGGGGAAGTTCCAGGGAATAAGAAATATAATTAGTAGGCATAAAATAGACAGGGGGAGCTTAAAAACAGAATGGGAAATAGAGAAGCTAAAGAACTTATATGTACAACCCATGGACATGAACTAAGTAGGGGGGGTGGAATGCTGGAGGTTGGGGGTGCAGGGCGAAGGGGAGGGGAGAAAAAAATTGGGACTATTGTAATAGCATAATAAAATATACTTAAAGAGCAACAACAACAAAGAGTTTTAGTACAGGTTTAATGGAGAAGACAATTTTAAATGAGTGATTAACTTTACTAATGCTGATTGTTTCAAAATAGATGTTTTGTCTTAGAAATGTATAACTTTCTGAGGTTCCTAGAAATGATATAGTCAGCTATAGTATTTCCTAATCTTGTTCAGTTGGCAGATCTGTTAACTGTGTTCATAGAGGGCTCAAGATTCCAGTTAAGGTTCTGATTTGAAGAAGAATTATGTGGAACAAAGTAAGATCTAACATCCGAAGTACCAGTTTAGTATTGCCTCTAAATTTCATAGAATAGAAACTCTTTGAGTAAGTTATTTTCAAGAAGTGTCAACCTTTTACTGACTTTGGAATTGACTAGTGCTTTTACACTGTAATTATAATTATAATGAGAGATTAAATTTATTGAGGATTTACTTTGTATAAAGCACAGTGCTGATCACATTTATATACATTGTTACTAAATCGTAATCAGGCTGTGAAGCAGGCACTGTGTTGTCTAGTTTTACAGATAGGGAAACTAAAGCATAGAGAAAATGAGTAACTTGTCCAGGATTATATAGGACGTAAGGCTGGAGTTGGATAGTTTGACTCCAGAGACCAGAGTCTAAATTTACATGTTATACCACCTACAGAGTACCAAAATGAAGGAATAATTGACATCTTAAACCCAAATGCGATGCAAATATGCTTTCAAAGGTACCTTGCTTGAAGCACTGAGAAATATCACTGTGAAGTGAATCTCAGCTTCTTTGCATGTACCCTTGATTTAAAAGAAACAAGAGAAAGAATAAATACAGGCCAGCTACAGTAAATACCATTTAATGAAGAAGATAATATATTATAAAGCTGTTTATGTTAGGTGTCTGTATTATAATGCAGAGCTAATCAAGTAGAATATTGTTATGATAGTTGCAGATTTAAGTCCACTAACACCAGATTTGAGTACTTAATAAAGCAAATTGAAATTTTATATGATGAATCATTGAACTTGCAAATCATATAAATGGCCTAAATATTTTGTTAGTGTTCTACCTACACTTAGAATGCAACAAGTGGATTGAAATTGAATTGAAATTAGCAACACAGAATCATGCATTTCATGTTACCTTGCCTTTCTGTGTGTGTGTGTATTTATTTATTTTTTATCTCTGTAAGTGGACCAGTTGTTTAGTAAGTAGGCCTAAACGTTTTACTCTTCATTTGAGTGCAGATAAATGATTTTTTAATTGTAGCTGTTTGCTCCTATGAAAACATTTACAAAAAACTTTTAATAGATTATGCACACTTAAATTGCTATTTGTTAAAAAAAAACTAAACCTGGAACAATTTTTGTGAACTTTCAAGTACTCATACCCATATATTGTCTTTCTTAAGCAGATTAGTAGATAAACTTGTAAAAATTGTTTCTCTCTGCCCTGGCCAGTGTGGCTCAGTTGATTGGAGCCTCATCTTGTGGACTGAAAGGTTGCATGTTTGATTCCTGGTCAGGGTACATGCCTGGGTTGTGGGTTCAGTCCCCAGTTGGGGTGCATGCAAGAGGCAAATGACTAATGTTTCTCTCCTCTCTCTCTAAACATGTCCTCAGGTGAAGAAAAAATAAGTAAAGATAAAAATTATTTTTCTGAAAGTTGATACTTGAGTTAGAATGTTCTGAACATTTAATACTTTTTTAGGCTGTTAGATGCCAATGTTACAGAATAATAATTTTCTGTCTCTCAGTCTTTTGAATTCTGTTTTTAAGTCCTTGACAGAACTACTTTTGAGGCAGAAGATTTTGATTATATTTGTTAGTAAGCTACATTTCATGAGAGTTAGAAATCTTAATGGGAACAAAATAATTAATAAGAGCCATTCTTGTGTAATAGGATGAAACGGAATTTAAGGCTGCAAGAGTTGCTTTTCTGTAGATGAAAAATTAAAACACAGAGAGATTGATTAGCTCCATAGAACCTAGATTTTTTTCTCTGGAGCTTTTTCTCTTACTCTACAGATTGTGTATTTATCTAGTTGTCAGTTTAGAGCAAATTAGATGAGGCATCCTTGAATGTCTGTTTTTGTCCTGTTTCCTTAATTATTAACTTTATTTGGTTAATAATTGAAAGATTTTAAAGTTTATGTCTGTTGAAATTGTTTTACTATTTAGATTCACTAGGCTTTTCATTTGTTTTTAATTCAAGTAGTTTCTTGATATATTTTTATTGTGTTGATAATTTACATTAAAAATTACTTGAACTTTTCATTTTCTTTTCTACAATAAATTCAGCCAGTGAATACATTTTTGAAAGTGCTAAAGTTATTAATTATAATGCATAAATTTGGTTCTTTAGGATTATAGTGTAGTCAGTCATATGTTACTTAGATTTTTTATTTTTGGTCTGGCAGGGGAAATAATTATTAACCACATAAGAAGAGTTTGCCAAGATCTATTTGTGTTAACTAAAGAAAGGTCTGCCCCCTGAGTTGAAATGCGTCATAGTGTAGTTTTTTCTTCTTTAATAAGTTTAATCCTCCACCAAAACATAGTTTGTACTCCAGGACTTTGGGAAAAATGGGCAACTCAATGAAGATGAATTAATAATTCTTACAGATTGACAGATTGACTATATACTGTATTCTTTTTAGTCCAATGAGTCTAAGTTTATTGCTGAAAAATGTCATGATGAGATTGCACAGGGCACTTCTCTCCTGTGTATAATGTGCTCATGGAGAGGTCTGTAGCCCCATCCTATACAAATATAGTTCTGAGTGTAGGATCTTTTCCCTCCTAAGTCCTCGTTCTTTTCCTGGCAGGCACTGCTTTCTTTTTGGGCATTGGATCAAGAGAATATTCTATGTTTCCTTCTCAGGAAAGAGGCCTTTCAGGTAGTGCTTCTGTGGTTTAGCTGTGTAATTGCCCTTTAGGAAAGGGCCCAAAGAATTTTTGCCAAACAGTGCATGTATTAGGACTACTTTTTCTCTGATTACTGTTTTCAAATCAAACGTGTAAGAAGTGGAAATGTTTTGAAAAATACTAAATGAACACATATGGTAGAGTACATTTACTCTTGGGAAGTATTTTTTTATTTATAATTTTTGTTGAATGAACTCATAAATTGAATGTAAACATTTCTTTTTTTGTTTGTGTTTTGATTCCACAGTCCACGCTGTAACACTGTTTCTGAATATCTTTGGATGCTTGGCTTGGATTTGTGTTGATTCTACAAGAGGAGTTGATTTTGGATTGAGTATCCTGTGGTTCTTGCTTTTTACTCCTTGTTCATTTGTCTGTTGGTACAGACCACTTTACGGAGCTTTCAGGTAAAATGTGTGTATTTTAAGATATGCTCTTTAAAATCTTTGAAGTAAATAATTTGTGGTACACCTTAAAAGGAACATTGACAAATTTCCATTAAAATTTTTTTTAGTATGGTATAAATCTTCATAAAAGTCTGTATAGCACATGCCTGTGTATTCATTGGGTTTTTTCCTTCATGTCAGACAGGTATTATGGCAGTGTTGTGCCAAGGTTTAAGGGAGGCACATCTCACATGACAGTATGAATGCCCAGTCATTACACTTACAAAGTATAGAAGGATCTCATTAGGTTTTTTTTGTTTGTTTGTTTAAATTTTTTTTATTGATTATGCTGTTACAGTTGTTCTATTCCCCCTTTATTCCCCTCCACCCTACCCCTCATCCCCACCATTACCGCCCCTTTAGTTTATGACCATGTGTCTCAAGTCCTTTAGATTCTATATTTCCCATGCTATTCTTGCCCCCCCCATCTATTTTCTATCTACTGTCTATGCTACTTATTTTCTGTACCTTCTCCCCCCTTCTCCTCCTCCCACTCCCCTGTTGCTAACCCTCCTTGAGATCTTCATTTCTATGTCTCCACTCCTGATCTAGCTGTCCTTTTAGTTTGCTTTCATTTTAGGTGTGGTTGTTAATAACTGTGAGTTTGTTGTCCTTTCACTGTTCATGTTTCTTTAACTTCTTTTTCTTAGATAAGTCCCTTTAACATTTCATATGATAAGGGCTTGGTGATGATGAACTCCTTGAATTTGATCTTATCTGAGAAGCACTTTATCTGTCCTTCCATTTTAAATGAAAGAGTTGCTGGATAGAGCAATCTTGGATGTAGGTCTTTAGATTTCATGACTTGGAATACCTCTTTCCAGCCCCTTCTTGCCTGTAAGGTCTCTTTTGAGAAATCTGCTGACAGTCTGATGGGGACTCCTTTATAGGTGACTGTCCCCTTAGCTCTTGCTGCTTCTAGGATTCTCTCCTTCATTTTAATTTTGGCTAATGTAATTATGATGTGCCTTGGTGTGTTCCTTCTTGGGTCCAACTTCTTTGGGACTCTCTGAGCTTCCTGGATTTCCTGGAAGTCTATTTCCTTTGCCAGATTGGGGAAATTCTCCTTTATTATTTGTTCAAATAAGTTTTCCACTGGTGGCTGTGCCTTTCCCCCTTCTGGTACCCCTATAATTCGGATGTTGGAGCGTTTAAAGATGTCCTGGAGGTTCCTAAGACTTTCCTCATTTCTTTGAATTCTTGCTTCTTGACTCTTCTCTGTTTGGCCATTATTTGCTTTCTTCTGGTCCACTCCATTGATTTGAGTCCCAGTTTCCTTTTCATTGCTATTGATTTCCTGTGTAATTCCATTCATTTCAATTAGTTTCGCCTTCATATGTATATCTAATTTGTGGCTATAATCAACCAGTTCTGTGAGGATCCTGATCACCAGTGTTTTAAACTGTGCGTCTGAGAGTTTTGCTATTTCTTCGTCACTTAGATTTACAGACTCTGGGGCTTTGAGATCTTCTTGAGCCATTTTTGGTCTATTCGCGCCTGTTAAGTATGAGGAGCGGAGCCTTGGACTCCCAGGTCGCTGGGTTGTGACTCTGTATGTGGGGGCGTGGTCAGAGCGGGGAAATGGTGGTGCCCTCTGCTGTTTCGTGCCACTGGGTGAGGAGCAGAGCCTCTGGTGGTTCACTGGGGCAGGGCCACTTAGGTCGCTGGGTTATGATGATGTATGTGGAGATGGGGTTAGAGCGGGGAAATGGCGGCGCCCTCCGCTACCACTGGCCGAGGGGGTCCCAGTCCAATTGTCCACTCCCTCGCTTGTCTATCCACGCATGAATGCGCGACCACAGTCAGACCGCAGCCCTTCTCCCTCGCTGTTCCCTTCTCCCTCGCTGTTTCCCCGCGGTCACTCGCTGAGTTGGCCCACCAGGTCCAACCCTGTGCCTGGATTCCGCGCGCCTGCGTCCGTCTGACCGAGTTTTTCTGTGCTTCTGTGCAACCGCGCTCTGCCAGCTGCTGGTTTCGCCCCTCTTACCGGTCAGGCTGAAGAATTTGTTGTTATCAGACTTCCGAAAAGTTCAATTTTCTCTGTTCTGGCTGTGTTTTCTGTTGCTATTATTTTGTTGTCTCTAAACTTGGTTGTGTGAGGAAGCACGGCGTCTTCACCTATGCCTCCATCTTGGCAGAAATCCCTCCTCCTTTCTTTCTGCTGCATAGAACTCACTGTGTAAATGTACCATAGTTTTTGGATCCATTCATTTACCGATGGGCACCTAGGTTGCTTCTAGCACTTGGTTATTGTAAATTGTGCTGCTATGAACATTGGAGTGCGTAGGTTCTTTTGGATTGGTGTTTCAGGGTTCTTAGGATATAATCCTAGCAGTGGCATTGCTGGGTCAAAAGGCAGTTCCATTTTTAGTTTTCTGAGAAAATTCCATACTGTTTTCCATAGTGGTTGTACCAGTCTGCAATCCCACCAACAGTTAACTAGGTTCCCCTTTCCTTCACAACCTCTCCAACATTTGTTGTTTGTTGCTTTGTTTATGATGGCCATTCAGACCGGTGTAAAGTGGTATCTCATTGTGGTTTTATTTTGCATCTCTCTGATAGCTAGTGATATTGAGCATCTTTTCATGTGTCTCTGGATATTCTGTATGTCCTCCTTGGAGAAGTGTCTGTTCAAGTCCTTTGCCTATTTTTTAATTGGGTTAGTTGTCTTCTCAGAGTGCAGTCATGTGAGTTGTTTGTATATTTTGGAGAGACAACCCTTGTCTGAGGTATCATTGGCAAATATTTTTTGCCAAACAGTTGGTTATCTTTTTATTTTAATACTGTTTTCTTTAGCTGTATAGAAGCTTTTAATTTTGATGAGATCCCATTTGTTAATTCTTTCCTTTACGTCCCTTGCTCTAGGAGACATATCAGTAAACATGTTGCTGTGTGAAATATCTGAGATTTTCCTGCCAATGTTCTCCTCTAGGACTTTAATGGTGTCACAGCTTATATTTAAATCTTTTATCCACCTTGAATTTATTTTGGTGTATGGTGTAATTTGGTACTCAAGTTCCATTTTTTTGCATGTAGCTGTCCAGTTCTCCCACCATCATTTGTTGAATAGGCTATTTTTACTCCATTTTATGTTGCTGCTCCCTTTGTTGAATATTAATTGACTGTAGAGACTTGGGTTTATTTCTGGGGTCTTTGTTCTGTTCCATTGGCCCATGTGCCTGTTTTTATGCTAATACCAGGCTGTCTTGATTACAGTGTACAGTTTGGTATCACTTTGTACATTTTGTAATACACTTTGATATCAGCTATTGTGATCTCTCCTACTTTGCTCTTCTTTCTCAAAACTGAAACAGCTATTTGGGATTGTTTATGGTTCCATATACATTTTTGAAGTGTTTGTTCTAGGTCTGTGAAATACGCCATTGGTACTTTAATAGGTATTGCATTGAATCTGTAAATTGCTTTAGGCAGTATGAACATTTTGATGATGTTAATTCTTCCAATCCATGGAACACAATATATGTTTCCATTTGTTTGTGTCTTTCTTGATTTCTTTCTTTAGTGTTATGTAGTTTTCTGCATACAGGTCTTTTACCTCCTTGGTTAGGTTTATTTCCTAGGTATTTTATTTTTCTTTTTGCTATATTGAATAGGATTTTTTCTTGATTTCTGCTTCTGCTATTTCATTGTTGGTATACAAAAATGCCTTTGATTTCTGGATATTAACTTTGTATCCCACTGTTTTGCCAAATTCATTTATTAGGTTGAGCAGTTTTTGGGTGGAGTCTATAGGATTTTCCATGTCCACTATGATGTCATCTGCAAACAATAACAGTTTTGTTTCCTCCTTTCCAATTTGGATGCCTTTTATTTCCTTTTCTTGTCTGATCACTGTGGCTATAAATTCCAATACTATATTGAATAGAAGTGGTGACAGTGGACAACCATGTCTTGTTCCTGATCTTAGTGGAAAAGCTTTTAGTTTTTGCCCATTGAGTATGATGTTGGCTGTAGGTCTCTCATATATGGCCTTTCTTATGTTGAGGAATGCTCCCTCTATTCCCACTTTGCTGAGTGTTTTTTTTATCATAAATGGGTGTTATACCTTATCAATAGCTTTTTCCACATCTGTTGATATAATCATGTGATTTTTGTCTTTGGTTTTGCTTAAGTGATGTATTACATTTACTGATTTGTGAATATTGAACCATCCTTGCATCCCTGGGATGAATCCCACTTGGTCATGGTAAATGATCTTTTTAATTATTGTTGGATGTGGTTATCCAATATTTTGTTGAGGATTTTAGTGTCTATGTTCATCAACGATATTGGCCTGAAGTTTTCTTTCTTTGTAGTGTCTTTATCTGGTTTTGGGACTAGGATGATGCTGGCTTCATAAAAGGAGTTTGGGAGTCTTCCATCATTTTGGATTTTTTGGAATAGTCTGTGAAGGATAGGGATTAGCTCTTCCTTAAATGCTTTGTATAATTCTCCTGTGAAACCATCTGGTCCGGGGCTTTTGTGTGTTGGGAGTTTTTTTATTACTGCTTCAGGTTCATCTGCTGTTATTGGTCTGCTCAGGCTTTCTACTTCTTCTTCATTCAATTTTGGAAGACTATATCTAGAAATTTGTTCATTTCACCTAGGTTTTCAAATTTCTTAGCATATAGTTCTTCGTAGTAATTTCTTACAATCCTTTGTATTTCTGTGGTCTGTATTTCTAGGGCGTCAGTTCTAATCTCTTTCATTTCTGATTGTGTTTATTTGGATCCTCTTTTTTTCTTGACAAGCCTGCTTAAAGGCTTTTTGATTTTGTTCATGGTTTTTAAAAAACCAGCTCCTGGATTCATTGATCTTTAGAATTGTGCTTTTAGTCTCTGTGTCCTTTAGTTCTGCTCTAATCTTGGTTATTTCCTTCCTTCTACTTGCTCTGGGCTGTCTTTGTTGTTGTTCCTCGAGTTCTTGTAGGCATAGGATTAGGTCGTTTGTTTGAAATGCTTCTGTCTTTTGTAGGTAAGCCTGTATTGCTATGAACTTCCCTCTCAGGACTGCCTTCGCTGTGTCCCATAAGTTTTGGATTGTTGTCAGTTCATTTTCGTTTGTTTCTAGAAACTTTTTTATTTCTTCCCTAATTTCATTCTTGCCCCATTTATTGTTTAATAGCATGCTATTCAGTGTCTATGATTTTGAGTGTTTTGGGCTTTTTCCCTTGAGGTTGGTTTCTAGTTTCAGTCCCTTGTGGTCAGAGAAAATGCTTGGTATGATTTCGATTTTCTTG